CCGGGGGCTACCCGCGAGGGGTGCCGTGGAGAGCATCCCGGCGTGTTTCATTCATGAGCGCCCCCGAGGACGTCCCACCAAGTTCCTCGCTCCAGCCGGGCGGCCGAGGCAATGACAGGGCTCCCCGCAAGCCCCGCGCTGCTAGCCGGCCGGCCAGCCCGAGACGAAGGGCGAGAAAGAACGCGAACCCACCTTCTCAGTCACTACTTGTCAAAAGTACACATCAAGACAGCTGCCGGAGGGGAGACTGCGGCCCCAAAACTCTCAGACTCCTCTCTCTCTCTTTTTCCCTCTCTCCACGCTCCCTTCGTTTAAAAAGAAGGGGCGGCGGGGTGGGGTGGGGGTGAGTCTTGGGTGCCCGGTAGGTACTCCTGTTCCGCAGCAAAGAAGTTAAATTATTGATCGTGGCAATGGCATGGCGGAGGGAACGCTCGCACCCGCGGGGCGCGGAGCTCCATCTGATCTGGGCCGAGGCGGGGAGATCTCACGCTCGCCCGCGGGGGGCGAGGCAGCGGGCAGCCCTCGGCGCGGTGAATGGGGAAGTGGGGGGAGTCCGCGAGAGGGCTCCGCGGTGTCTTGACGCGCGCTGTCATATGATACCTCCGCTGCCTCGAAATAGACACTGGAGTGCACGAATTACCAGAATCAAAATTCAGCGCATTTAAAATGATACATCTTTTATTAGAAGAGTTCCGTTCCAGGGCATCGCATGCTTTTGCAGATGTTTGCTCTTCCAGCCTTAGCAAACACAACACACGTACGCCAATGCTTTTAATAACGAACCCGGGCGGTGAAAAATACAGATAAATAAATAAAAAAGCCTTCGATTTTCACCCGAGTCGGGGAGGAGCAGCTGGTTCCGTTCACCAGGGTCCTCCCCCCTCTGCCGCCGCCCCCGCCCCCGCCCCCGCCCCTCCACCTAACGGTTAACAGAGAGCAAATGGTCTTTTAGCCAAGACCCCAAGAGAAAACTTAAATGGCGCGGGTCCAGAGGACCATGTTCAATTAGCCATTTGACGAGCACTGTCGACGTTCTTCTACGGTGGACTCCTGCTCTAAAGCTGTCGCTCCTTCCCACTAATTCGACCGATTCGTAGGGCATTAAGGCAGATCGTAAAATTGTAGAATGGAAACAAGACTTTCGGACAGGGCTCCCTGGCTCAGGGTCCCCAGGACCTCCTAGAAGCATAACAATCTCTTGGGAGTGTGTTAACGTGCAGCCTCTTGCTTCTGAAATTGTGATTTTATAGGAGTGGAGTGAGTTCCAGAAATTAACGTTTGAAGGAGCACCCCAAGCAATTCAGATACATGCAATCTACTCATACTTTGAGAAACACTCTCCCCAAAGCTGCAAGAATGAGTTTCAGAGCAAGTCTCCCCTCCCCCACTTCAAATTTTGTAGTCTCTTATTTGTGTACATTTTTTACCACCACTACTCCTTGTAATCTCCAGGGGCTGGGACCTCATAATTGCTAAAACTCCTTACTGTAAGGATTTCCCTAAAAGCTCCAACATTCATTTTAGGAAAAGGAAAGCTGTATAAACAGTTTCCCTTCCTGGATGCTTAGCAAGAATGTGTTGCTGAACTGAATATATAATGGTATTCTATACTCTGTTCAATTTACTTAAGAGTTTACAGTTAACACAATGATTTCAGTTACAATTTAGAGGATCTAAAGACTGGTGACAGAAATGATTGGTCTCCTGTTATAAATCAGGAACCTGAGGGCTCAGTGCCATGATAGAATTTGCCCATCAGCACACAGCTAAGTGGCAGAGTTGAGACGTAAATGCTCACTTTAAACACCCCTGCTTCCCACCACTTGAAATAAATGAAGCTGTTTCTTGAAAGTGTTATGGGACGTGTGATCATTCAGAATGGCTGTGCAAACTGTTGTCAAGTTATTCAAATATATTCATATTCTTCAAGTGTCACACGTTTTGCTTTGTACCTCTGTCAACCTGATGGGAACACACAACCAATACAAACTACTCTAGAGCACAGATGGTGGAGTTTATTGTGGAATTTTTAATTTCTATGAAATTGCTGGCTAGCCAGACAGCAAGAAGGAATAGAACATAGTAAACTAGGGCTGTCCACCTCAAAGAACCTCTGTATTGGTTCCCCGGGGTGTAAGCTGATGCAGAACTATTTATTGTAGTATCTCAATATAATTCAGCAGGTAAGTTTCATAAAACAAAACACACATGTACACGGGTTTATTTTACATAGAACAGGAAAAACCTTTGATCTCAACATCTTTTTAAAATAATAACTTTATGTAACTTTAAACTGAGCCTTATTTGCAACTTTTTATTTGCTTGAAAGTGAAGTGATTCACCTAGGTTTTAATTCGTAATTGTGGTTTACTTCTTGTCTGAATAGACCCAGCACACCGATGCCCAGAATCTGAGCTAGTAGTGTCAATGCAGCAGAGGGAATCTCTAAACTCTAAGCTCACATTGCCAGCTCAGCATTTTTACTGAAGGGAAAGGTGCATGAATTTCTGACTTGTGGATCCATGGCCCCCGTCTTATTTTTGCGCTCCCTTGACGTGATATAAATGCATGTTTGTATCACTCCTTTCCAGTGTGTGGTGCAATCTTACTGAGAAAAAGGCAGAGGATTCAGAAATGGTAGAATGTTTAGAAATAGAAGATCAAATGCCAATGTGGAGACACTTTCTGATGAGTCAGACCTAGCAATCTCTCTGCCCTTTCTAAACTTCCTATTTCTTTATTATATGATCACACTAACAGTAAGAGACTGGACTTAAAATATTTGTCCTTCTGCCTTATTTTATGCTGAAAACCAGTGAGGCCAAGATGAAGTAGGTGCACAAGGGCTTTGCGTGGGATTCTGGGTGTTTTTTGTTGTTGTTTTGTTTTATTTTGCTTAAAAAGCATACAAAGATAGTCTGAAAAGGTTTAAGGTAACGCTGTTCACAAAATTATTTATCTATGGTTATCAAGGGTAATGCTGAGGAGATAAAGCATGCATTTCTGATTTTTTAAAGTGCATACTTGTTTCTGATGGGAATGATAAATAGCCAAGTATCCCTGTTTTGGTAGAGTTTAATGATTTGAACATTTTCTCTATTCTCAAAAGCCCATTTCACTTTTGTGGGGCTTAAAATTAATTTTGAATTAATTTAAAGGGAAATAGGAGTGTGTGTGGTGGGAGAGGGGGTTAATGGCCTAAAATGCTCCACATGCAGTGCTCCAGAGGGGAAGCAGTCAGGAAGAAATGTGAATTCCCATCTATTCCTGTCAGGAAATATAAACTAATCCTCATTACTCAAGTGGGAACAGAGGCTGCAAGCTCAGATTTGACATTGACATAATTTTTTTCTATTAATAATTTTAATTGGCTGGAATTAGTACTACAACCAACTGAAAGCATTTTGTTTAATTATGTTTACTTAAGTGCCTTAGTTACTCCTGCCTTCAGTCTTCTTTGCAGAAAACGAAATATTTGGTTGGCTAGAGTCCCCTTTGCTTGGTCTTAAAAAGGGCTGGAAACTGAAGTAGGTAATCAGCACTGGGAAATAATAAGTAAAAGAGGTCTTCCCTGCTGAGCAGAGTGGCAAAGATGTTTTCCAGTTCACCCTGGAGAATTCAAAGCCCCATCCAGTGAAGAACTGTGTCACTACAATCCTCCAAATTACTGAGTAATGCCTGTCCTGATCAAATCCTTACAGGAGGAACGATTGCCTCGGTAGTTGAGGGGATTTGAACAAGAAGTGTATTCCATCCTTGTAAAATTTTCATGAACCATACTATAACTTCATATCATACTCAGATGAGTCTGCCTTGGTCAACACCTGTTAGAGGACTTGTGTAAGCTAACACAGTCTTTAGTGGTGGACCACAGTCAGGAAATGTTAGCATGGCCGAGAACAAGGAGAAGAGAATTAGGGGGTCAAAAACTGACCACATCTGGGAATAATATTTAGCTGGATCAAGAAAAATGGCACAGAAACTATTTTGAAACGACAGAGACTAATCCCCAAACATATGAGAATCATCAAATTGTAACCCTCTCAGATTTTCCCTAAGAACATTTAAAAATTAAGAGTAAAGAGTAAACCAATAAAGAATTGGTTTACATATCATAATATTTCTACAAGCATGGCCAAAAGGAGTATGAGATAGCAGACACTGGGTGAAAGTAAGCTGAAAAATGCTAACTGACTGGTATCTTTTGGTACTATTGCGAGAAGAGCCATCAGATCTATCAAATTTAAAGCCAGGGGTTTCAGGATATTGAATTAAATATATGAGCAGATGGCTTGCTTGCTCTCTTTCTCTCAACTCCGCTATTTAGGTTGTCTGATGATAGCAATGAAAGGATTCCTATTGGTAATTTCTATGTTCGAAGTAAAAATGCATAGAAAAGTAGAAAAAGGTCTGTAAATGGACACTTAATTTAGACTACAATGATCACCGAACTTCCCAAAGTCCTATTTTTAAAACACCTTAAGAATTCAGAATTCACCGTGTTTTTTCCACGATGATGATACATACATAAACATAGTACTTGTCGACTTTCCCAATGACCATTTCATTTTGACCTTCACTTCATAGATGAGTTGATTCAATTGGTGAAAACTTGTTAAGCACCTGATAAGTGTTAGATGTTGCTCTGTGGCTTATGACACAGGCCCATGAATAAAAGCACACCGCGGCACTTCTAGTACCCCTATTCAAGGAAACGAAACTGTCTTGTCACTCTGCGTCACTTGTGAATTTGTCAAGGGCAGGAGATTATGTTTTGATTTATTTTCCCTCATCATAAGGTTGATGTATAGAAAGATCAATATAGGATCCACATGCTTTTAATGGTCAGGTGACAGTGATATACAGTTCCCAAAGTTGGAGTGGCATTGTGATCAATGCCTTAATTACTGTTAATTGGCAGTGTTTTACCAAAATCCCAAACCAAACTTACTACCATAGAGTTGATTCCACCTCATAGGAACCCTATGGGGCAGAGGTTTGACCGCTAACCTTGCAGTTCACCGTCCAACACTTGACCCACTATGCCGCTGGGGATCCTTTGGTGCTTTATTCACTGCCATCGAGTCCGGTCTGATTCATAGTGACCTTATAGGACAGGGTAGAACTGCCCTGTGGGTTCCTGAGACAGTAATTCTTCAGGAGCAGAAAGCCTCATCTTTCTCCCAAGGAGAGGCTGGTGGTTTCAAACTTTTGACCTTAAAGTTAGCAAGCCAACACATAACCAACCAAGTGCTTTACAGAGGGGGACAAATAATGAAGGATATTAGATATGATTAAAGCGAATAATCTTTCTAAA